CCAAGACATGCGATTAAAATTCTGGTTCTGTGCTACCAGCATGCATTTACAATCTTTGCAGAGTCCTGTCTTCACGTGATCACCCTTTCTGGCCTTCCGAATTTGCTTCCCAGAAGTAAAATCAGGAGAAAGGCAGATTTGCTTAGTGACTGCATGGTCCACTTAACAACTGCAGTGATTCCCTTAATAACCATGACAAAAAAAGATGGCAAAATCCGGCACAAGTCACTGAAGCACCACTTTGCTTGGCAACAGGAATTCTGGTCTGTTCCTAGGAATTAAATTTAAACTTGAGAAATTATCCGAACAACTTACTTATAGATGCTTGGCAACTGTTCTGGTGGTTTGCTGACTGTTCGGTGCCTTTCCCTTACCCATGAGACATGTTTACAGCATGAGTCAGCTGCAAATGTTGCAGAGGTTAAACTGCAGGATCCCTTTATGTTGGGATAATGTCTGATTTGCTGTTAATGGGGGGAATACACAGGTTCCCCTCGCTGACATATCAGATTTCTGAACATGCAGAGGTTAAACTGCAGGATCCCTTTATTTTGGGATAATGTCTGATTTGCTGTTAATGGGGGGAATACACAGGTTCCCCTCGCTGACATATCAGATTTCTGAACATGCAGAGATATGTGCAAATGGACTTACCCAAACCATTAACTTCATGGATTGCTATGCCATATATTGAGTGTGAAGGTATGTGATGGCTCAGTGGTTAAAACACGCTCCACCTATCAGCTGGAAAGCTGACAGCCCGGGTTTAAGACCCAAGTGCCACGGGATGAGATGAGCTCCTATAACTTGCCTCAGCTCCTTCTCACCTAGCAGTTCGAAAACATGCAAGTGAAAGTACATAAATAGGTAGAATTTCAGTGGGAAGGTAATGGCATTCTGTGTGCCTTTGGCATATAGCCATGCTGGTCACATGATCATGGAAATATTTTCAGACAATGCTGGCTTCCTCAGCTAGCAAGTGGAGATGAGCACTGCCCTCTAGAATCAGACATGACTGGGCAGGGAAAAGCTTTATCTTTATTACTATACTATTATCTTTATTACTATTACTATATGTACTATACCTTTAAGTCCAATTTACATTAACCACAAAGGCTGATCTTAAAGGGGCTATTCGATATTTTTGGTACTGTAACTGCAATGCCCACCTGGATTTTAGCGAAGGTGAAAAAAGTTGCGATGCCTCCTGTGACGATGTGTTATTGCGAGTTTGACACCCCTGGTTTAGATCATCCTTTCTCAACTTTTCACCCTAGAGAATCCCTTGAAATAATTTTCAGGTCTTAGGGAAGCTTTGATAAAAAAATAAAATAAGACAGCATGCCCAAAATTTCACAACACACGTCCAATCTACATCATGTATATTCTCCAACATTTACAAAAGCAAAGTGACATAAAAATTCCCGTCACTGAGAATACTAGTGTTACACAAAGTTTTTTAAAGTGATTTTTTGTTTTCTCCAGTCATTTTTTTTTTGTGGGACCCCAGTTGAGAAAGGATGACATAGGCACACACCAGGAAAGAGAAAATGGAAAAAAAATGGCTCCGTGAAAACTTTAACTGGTTCTCATAACCCGTAAATAGGTGCTTAGAATCTAAAATCGACTTTTTTCCATATTATACATTGCAAACCTTCTGTAAGTTAAAACAGCACCACTGTGTGCCCAGTTCCTGAATAACACCTATACGGAATGAAGCACAGAAAGTAACATCATTTTCAAAAATGATTTATTAGTAAGAGTGTACATATATGTCCCATTTTAAGTTGACAATATAGGAAACAGTTTGTTATTCTTCCCAATTTTCAGCTTACCCATTTCCCATATCTGAAAGGAATATAATATCGTGCATATGCAGTTTAACTTTGCTAATGGTGCTAAATATTAAACAATACTTAAGCTTCCCACCACCACACCCCATTCTCTTGCAATAGGTACACAATTACTTTAACTGTCAGCACATTTCCCTATTAAATCCAACAAAGGTGAGGGTAACGTTTAAATTTTCAAGGTACCGGTAGATGTGATTTGATGGGCAACACTGTGATCAGTGGATGGTTTCTGTCTTCAGGTTTCATCAGGATGTCTTGCCCTGAAGTTCATTTCTCTGGTTAAATCTTTACTTCAGTGACAAGAGAGGATTCCATATTTTTCAAGAGAGAGACATTTTAATAGTGGCAGCAGTTCTCTGGTGTGCAAATCTAAGATGGGAGCTATCCCCCAAGCTCATTTTCAGTGGAACTGCATGAATCATGCTTTGCTGAGATCTATGACTCATCTTGTGGTTCACTAACCTTGGATGCACCTTTCAAACAGAGTTTGTTTTCATTTCTGAGGAGTTGATGAAAGTGGGTAGTAATTGAACATTTGCTTCATTTTTCTCCAGAGACAATTCCTCCTCCTGTCTTGACTGGAGACACAGGTTTCTTAGACATAGAGGCAGCTTCTTCTGGTTTTACTTGGAGAAGACCAAACCTGCATAGCATTTCCTCAGCAGGCAAAATATGGCCGGTTGTTGGTTTCAGAGCCACTGGGTCATCACACTTGCAGACAGTAGAAAAGCTCAGGCTATCATCTTCCAGAATTCCCTCTGCAACAAGGGAAGTGAGTTGTGGGTTTCTGGTGGACTTTGTTATTCCAACAGCAGGCTGTAGAAAGTCTACTGGAACTTCTGGCTTTTGAGAAATGCTGTGACCAGTGGAATCTGTAGGCTTCTTAGCAATGCATTCATGATTCTCATTTTCCTTGCATTTTTCCCCACTTAACAAAAATGCATCTTTTGATGATCCACTGAAGTTTTCTATTTCAAATTTCAACAACATTGGATCCTTAATATGAGGGTCTTGGTTGACTGAAGAGTGGTCAAGAAATTCATGAGCTTCATCTCTGCTTCTTAAATTCAGTGAGGCCATCATTGAAAGAGTACTGGCTGTGCTAAGAGTATCTTCTTCTGGTACTCTAGTAAATATACATACGTGCATTAATAAACAAGCTATGTAGAACATTTACGCTTATATTATTGCTCTATGTGCATATGTAAGTGTATGGATAGAAGAACAAATGCATGCACTTGTGTTTTGTGGCAGAATAAATATCTTACATGCCAGGGGTGGGTTTCTCGCCCCGTTCCAACCGGTTCGGTTGGAACGGGGCCGGCGGCGTCCTCGTGCACGCGCGTGGTGCACGCATGCGTACTAGCATCTGTGCGACACTCCAGCTGCTCCTGGAGGATCGCGCAGGCGCTGTATGCGTCCTGCACATGCGTGGAAGCGCAGAACTCGTCAAAACCGGGTAAGGACCGTGGACGGGCGGGCGCGCCCTTCGCCGTTCCCGGAAGTTACTTACTTCCAGGTTCGCCAACCAATCGGTTCGCAGGGACCGCCGCGAACCGGTTGAAACCCACCCCTGTTACATGCCATCTCTCCTCTCACTGAAGCTAATAGATCTGTTTTAAAACATGAGAAGTCATCCAGTTAGTAATTACCGTTTATGGACATGGTTATCTTCATCATCTTCATTAATGGATCCATGTTCATCACCAGAAGCTCCACTTTTTGGATTCTTGTCAGTCACGGAAGCTTCAGGAAACTGAAGTGTACTTCGACGGGAATCTGAGAAAAAAAATGATAAAGAAAATATAATGTTGATGTTCTTACTGTCTATTTCCTCCTTAGACACCCAAAACCATCCATCACTCCTACCTGCTTCAGGACCGCTCGTAGTTGGGGATAAATCTTGTTTGTGTTCAGTAGATTGTCCTTCTACCTTTGACAAGCAAACCTGCGAAGGCAGGAAGCAGAGTTACACTGTGGAATAGCAATCAATTTTCAACACAAGAGTAACTTCGACTGCCCCAAAAAGAGGATCTGATAACAGAGTTCATGTTTTCTCCAAAGGAAAGTCACACAGATGCAGCCACAACTTGAACTGGGATCTGAGTCTAAGATATGAGATAATGTTCTTAAGTAACTGGAAAGATTGCAGTTGATTAAAAATCTTCTGAAGAATCAGAACAGTTTGAGAGTGACTAATTAGAGAGTTTATGGACTTCCCTCCAACACATCTATTCAAGCGGAAGCTAAGAACTCGTTCATTTTAATATTTCTCCAAGATTTAGCCTTTCGTGGGGACAAACTGCTCATCGTGCTAAGATGTTCCACCACGGTTCAAGCTGTGGTGGCACAATGGTTAGAATGCAGTACCACAAGCTAATTCTGCTGATTGCCCACAGTTCGATTCTAAGTGGCTCAAGGGTGATCCATCCTTCCAGCCTTCTGAGGTCAGTAAAATGAAGACCTAAATTGTTGGAGGCTATATGCTGACTCTGTAAACCACTTAGAGAGGGCTGTAAAGTACTGTGAATATATAACTCATAAGTGTTGTTGCTAATGGTGATAGAATATTGGGGGTAAAGGCTATTAAGAGTGCAAAACCCCTCCACCTCCCTAGGTAGACTAGGCCAGGAAATCAGCTTCACAGGAAGAACTACCCTTTATTGAGATTGGCTACAGTAATAGAATCCTGCAAATCTGATTGCGCTACACCTCCACCCTTACAGTAAATGAAGCCAGTATTTGCATGGTGCCTTTCCAAATGTTATCTCAATTTTTTTGGACTTAAAACAAGTCCCATTAGCCTAAGTAATGGTTCTTGCACATTTCCACCAAAGACAACTTTCTTTCTTTGTACACTACTTCATAAACCAGTCCAGAGAACCCAATATTTTACTCCTGTAATTTTTCATTTGGTAGTCTTTGCAAGGAGAGGGTCGCATGGAGGCAAAATTAAGGTAGATCGACTGAATCCAAGAAGACATCCAGAATTCTCATTTGGGTCAATGGGTCAATTCCAAGTTTGACCCATCCTGATCTTCTCTGCCGCATGTTACTTGGAGAAGCAAACAAACCCTTACCTTCCTAGGCTTGGCTGCTGGTTTTGACAAAACTTGCCGATGAATCTTTACTAGTCTTTTCTTCAATTTCTGCTTTGGCAAGACAGCGTCACCTAAAAGGAGTTAGGCTATTGTCATAAAAATGCTTTGTTCTTTTCCACTGCAAGACCTAAAGCATCTATTTTGCCCTTTAGAACCCTTGAAGACCCAGTAGATCTAAACTTTCACCCAAACCATAGGAAGAGGGAGCTTTCAGTACTACTAATAAGGTGCTAAAAGGCATATAATGGGCAAAGATTGCCCACTTTCGATCCAGATGTGTCATCTATACTTTCTAGATTTGATGGATGAGTACTTAAGCCGCTACATGCTTTTCCATTACTACATAGGTTCATCTTCTAAAATAGCAGCCAGAATAAGTGGACCAAAAGTTTGATATAAGTACAAATGGGCAGGACAAGATTCCCAGCCGATTTTGAAGGAATGGTTTTTGCAGAGGTAGAAGACATGTCATTTTGAAACATTCATTCTTGTTCGTCTGTTTCTTTTAAGTTGAATACGGTAACCTCCTTCCCCATCAATTCAAATAAAAGCTAAATATTAAGCACAGTACCTTGTTTTTGCAAATTTGATGCTGTGATCTTTTCTGCAGACTTCTTGTTAATTTTAAAGAAGAATCTGGAGTTTAAAAAAAAACAACAGTTGAGCTAAGCATTAAAAAACCTTAGTGAGATGTTCAGCACACGCAGGTATTAGCTCTGTTTACACAGGCAACTACAGTAGGACACCAGCAGAGAAGAGAAGATTGTGCTCCTTTTATGAAAGAGAGATTTTAAAGGGCCACACTGTGGAATTCACTTAGTTTACTTCCGTAGAAAAATGCAAAGTTCCAACAAGCTGATGCTTTGAGATGGGAAGGGCCTCTCAGATGTCCTAACCAACATGTCCGTGCTGATTCGGATTTCTGAAATCTACTGCCTAACATATTCAAAGGATAAAACTGCATTTGACAAGAATAGCTATAGGAAGATTGTCCATTGGTTTTCGGAGCTGAATAGAAAATGCCATTCAAATTCTAGCGACAGGATTTGGAAGACTGTTGAGTTCCTGCATTAATCTGTTTTATGTAAACTAGTAGCATAAATCTCGTTGCTTACATAATCTCAACTCTAGTCCACTGTTTCCCACCTTTTGCAATCTAGCGTCCTTTTCAACTGCAGTCAGCATAGCATAAGTTTGAAGCTGATGTTATCCCTTGTCTATGGAATGCCGGTCTCTGGTGTTTAACAAGACCTTTGTGATTTAAGGGGGGATTATTATAGTTATCTGTTGTGGCCCGGCAGGAGCCGTTGGAGCTGCCGCCAGACTCCGACAGCGAGGGGTGTTATGAGTAGGCCTTGGAGGAGATGGACCCTGGACAGGGTGTCGACTCCGAGCAGGGTGAGGAGAGACTGGTTGGCCATCGGGTGGCGGCAGAGCATTGGATCAAAGGGAATGTTCAGGAAAACATTTGGGAGTTATTTCAGGATGCATGCAGGCGAAGGGCTACTCGACGGAAAGAATGGAGTAACTACAGGAGGTGATTACGAGCAGCTGATGCTGATTAAGATCCTCTCCTGATTATAAAAGGGACTGTTTGTGCCATGCCCTGGTTGCAGGAGTCAACGTTCTCGTTCATGATTCAGAGAAAACAACTTGGATAAGTGGTTTGCTGTGAGAAGGTTGTTTAATTGCTGCCAGAGAGC